TAATATTTCAATGATGATGTTGAATACTCGTGATTCTGAAATCCACTAGTAAACATGATTGACTAGTAAGCTTTAGACAAAGCCAATAAGAAGCATGTAGCTTCATGAGAGTGTTTCTTAGTGGAGACAATTTGTATCTATTAAATGAAATCGGTAGTTGGCTAGCAACATTTGATAAGATACTAAGTCACATGTAATGGTAGATCTAGATGTATAAGTCATAGATATAATACCATTAAGCAGTTGAACTCAATCGTGGTACCTTTAAGAAATTTACCGAGAGATTAAGTATACTACATATCGAAAGGAATGAGATTGAAGCCTACAACGTTAGAGTCCTTGTAAAGTTAACACTACCTTATTGACTGGAGATCCCAAGATCTTGGTTCAAAGGGACAACTAAATTATGAGGATTCCATGAAGCACTAAGGAAAATAATTTCCTAACTCATTCCTATGACATTAAAGTTCTTTCTACAGAGTTGCGAGAGGTTAAAATAATCTTTTAATGATTCCTATATCTTGAATAAGTCAAGTGGAGTAGGGCAAAATACTCTTAATAGGAGGTCACCTATGTGAGTGTGAAGTGATGCCGCTTCAGTGAGAATTAATCAAAGCTTAAATTCTCTAAACATTCACAGAACCAATAAGGGTTCAGGGTCAAAATGAACCAAGTCATGAGAACCATGAACGGTTTAGGGAAGATATTGTATGAGTATCGTTATCTTGGCTTACACTAAAGGCTAAATGGTTCAAGACAACACGTTTACTAATTAGCCGAGTAAGTCCGATAATATTTTACTAAGGGAGGTACAAGCCAGAAGCTAACATCCATGATGCAGTGTTTTTCCGCTATCTTTCTATTAGTGTCTGCATGGATATTTTCATTAATTTTCATTCATGTGGGAGATTGTTAGAATTTTGTTGAAAATTTTATATTATTTGGTGAATGAAAAATTAAGCTAAAATTTAAATCACTTAAATACGTGAATTATTGGAAAAGTGCGTAGAATATTATGGAATTTTCTAGAAATTATTAGACTGAAAAGGTGTCTTTCTATATGAAAAATTATGACTTTTGACATTATCATTTTTCAAGAGACGTGTCTCTTTAAATATAGAGAAATTTCAATGGTTGTATCTCTTCCATAGGTTGTGTCTTTTGAGACAAATATTTTCAACATCTATATATTGACCCCATATGTTTGAAAAAAAATCATTATATTCCATATTTTACACTTTGCTATGCATAAAACACTTTGTAGAAGAGATTATCTTTTGCATCAAAATCATGGTTATGGTAGAGAGGGAATTCCGTTCGAGTTTGCTAGTCAAAGTCATTTGGAGTGCTCCTATGGCTTGACGTGGTTGTTGTATTTTGGGAGATGATTGCTGAAAAATCGTTAGCACCAATGCAGGGCAAATTCATCTTAAGGACCAAGTGTCAAACATTTGTATCAACCAAAATTTCATCACTTTCATCTTTCTTCCTTCATTTTTTGATTTCTCTTAATTATGATTTGATTTCAGAAACTGATTAATATTATTTACATGTTTGTTCTGCAATGTTTGATTATAAGAATAACTTGCTTTCGTTCAAGAATCGAAAGAGATGAATCCATATTCATGCATTCGGATTCGGTAACTATATTATTGTTTTGCTTCTCAAATTCTATTTGAGTAAGTCGAAATTACGTTTCAATTTTTAACAAATAAACGGTATGTTTTTGTGAATATAATATACACATAATCGATGTATTCCCCAACAATCATGAGTGTGAAACTAGATAAAAATGTCTAGTGCAGTATGACTTTAGTTGCCAGAACAAATATACACTTCTAGATATTAAAGCAACGACACAGGAAGAATCGTCAGCTTAATCTTTTGTCAAAGAGCACGGAATTTCTCGTTGACATTTCATCGAATATTTGATCGGCAAGATGACAGTTTCTACACAATATATATATTCCGTGCATTTGGGTGTTGATGCATCATAAAATCTCACATTCAGAAGATCCCACATATATTTATGTGAACTAATATGGATTCTGAAATCATGAAAGCGAAAGAAAATAATAATAATAAAAATTAAACACTATTTAAATTTCACATTTTTTCTATAAAAAATGCACGTGGATGGAACCATGCATTCCATATAGAATTTTAATCAAATGATAGGGAATGCATACACATGGGCTCTGATCTTTCCTGATCAAGAAGAAGTACGTAAAAATCTGTTTATTTTTATTAAGTTCTTATGTATTTCAAATGCATACCGTCATTTAACAATTTTTTCAATCATTATAGGTGATTAACATCTGTACCAAACCCTTTCCCTACACGTTAATCTATAAAATTAGGGTTCAATGGAAATTTGAAACATGTGTGCTTATTTTGCAAGTGCGTTACGAATTGGGTGTTATCTTATGCTCTGTTATTGCAGCCAAAAATGCCGTAACAATTAGGGCAATAGTTGACAATGATTTTGTTTGCATTTTTAGACTCTATTGTCAAATTATTTCGTCAGTCATCAACACCAATCTGGCCAGTTGATATTTTGTATAGTGGTAGGTTTGTCATAGTTGAGATTGAAA